AGCTCCAAAAATGTAATAATTATATACACTTAATTATATTAATTATTCGTTTTTCATTTAGGATCTGAAATAATTCAACCTGGACATTTACCAAGAGCACCATTAGTCCTGAGTCCCATTTTGACAGTAGAATGCAAAACCGGAATGCAAGAAAATGAATCAATGTACACATCACAAGATAATCAACAGAAGAAGGTTGCTCGACTAATTTATATATTCATGAAATTTTGCTAACAGATAGCAAAAATTTTAATCAAAATTTTTTTAATATTATATTTTATCATATCAGCATGAACAAACATATGGCTGTATAGTTATGCTGACTTTTGCTCCTGACGGTTTGCCAACTGCTGAGTGCATCACAAAGATATTCAGGTCTAAACAACCACGAATAGGCGTGCTTATGTTGCAAGAACAGGAGAAACATGTCTATAGTAGAGCTGAAGAATTCATAGACGATTGTTTCAATCAGGTAAATTAATTTCTCCTTCTTCTTTGATGTCTGGAGTTGAGATATAGTCTTCTAGAGAAAAGCAGTCCTATATGGACCTCGGGTTTCTCTTAATTTTGTTCAAATTGTAATTTTTATGGAGAAGGATTGTAAGCACTTTGCCCAATCTCCAATCTGAAGAACTGAACTGTAAACATTGAAATTGATTTTTTGAATTCTGCTAATTTTATCAATTTTTTTTTTACATTAAGTACTATAATTTAATCTACTTTCAGGTAGATTATGTTATACCAATACTAACAAGAGGATACATTGAAAGGATCAACAACCCTGTGAAAATGCATGAACAGATGCATAACAAATTGGATACAAAATATTTGAAGTACATATATTCCTTGTTGAGATACGAATATGTAAAAAATCAATGCTGCAACAATCGTGTAAGGTACATATAACTTGATGAGTATCTGATAGCAAATTAGTAAATAACAAATATACGATAAATCTTTGATAAGCGTTTATGATATATCGCTTATATTTGTTTACAATTAATGTGAAAGCACACAGAATATGTATGACAAATGCCTTTGTTAATTTGTTTTTGTTTCTGTTATCAGATGTATTGTGCCTGATAAAGATGTTTATACGATTGTACAAGCAAG